ACAGACATGGTACTATCCTTCCCCTGTCTAACCCACAGGACAGTCATGGTACTATCCTTCCCCAGTCTAACCCACAGGACAGTCATGGTACTATCCTTCCCCAGTCTAACCCACAGGACAGTCATGGTACTATCCTTCCCCAGTCTAACCCACAGGACAGTCATGGTACTATCCTTCCCCAGTCTAACCCACAGGACAGTCATGGTACTATCCTTCCCCAGTCTAACCCACAGGACAGTCATGGTACTATCCTTCCCCAGTCTAACCCACAATACAGTCATGGTACTATCCTTCCCCAGTCTAACCCACAGGACAGTCATGGTACTATCCTTCCCCAGTCTAACCCACAATACAGTCATGGTACTATCCTTCCCCAGTCTAACCCACAGGACAGTCATGGTACTATCCTTCCCCAGTCTAACCCACAGTACAGTCATAGTACTATCCTTACTCAGTCTAACCCACAGGACAGTCATGGTACTATCCTTCCCCAGTCTAACCCACAGTACAGACATGGTACTATCCTTCCCCAGTCTAACCCACAATACAGTCATGGTACTATCCTTCCCCAGTCTAACCCACAGGACAGTCATGGTACTATCCTTCCCCAGTCTAACCCACAGTACAGTCATAGTACTATCCTTACTCAGTCTAACCCACAGGACAGTCATGGTACTATCCTTCCCCAGTCTAACCCACAATACAGTCATGGTACTATCCTTCCCCAGTCTAACCCACAGGACAGTCATGGTACTATCCTTCCCCAGTCTAACCCACAGGACAGTCATGGTACTATCCTTCCCCAGTCTAACCCACAATACAGTCATGGTACTATCCTTCCCCTGTCTAACCCACAATACAGTCATGGTACTATCCTTCCCCAGTATAACCCACAATACAGTCATAGTACTATCCTTCCCCAGTCTAACCCACAGGACAGTCATGGTACTATCCTTCCCCTGTCTAACCCACAGTAGAGTCATGGTACTATCCTTCCCCAGTCTAACCCACAGTAGAGTCATGGTACTATCCTTCCCCAGTCTAACCCACGGTAGAGTCATGGTACTATCCTTCCCCTGTCTAACCCACGGTACAGTAATGGTACTATCCTTTCCCCAGTCTAACCCACAGGACAGACATGGTACTATCCTTCCCCTGTCTAACCCACAGGACAGACATGGTACTATCCTTCCCCAGTCTAACCCACAGGACAGTCATGGTACTATCCTTACTCAGTCTAACCCACAGGACAGTCATGGTACTATCCTTCCCCAGTCTAACCCACAGGACAGTCATGGTACTATCCTTACTCAGTCTAACCCACAGTAGAGTCATAGTACTATCCTTCCCCTGTCTAACCCACAGGACAGTCATGGTACTATCCTTCCCCTGTCTAACCCACAGGACAGTCATGGTACTATCCTTCCCCAGTCTAACCCACAGGACAGACATGGTACTATCCTTCCCCAGTCTAACCCACAGGACAGACATGGTACTATCCTTCCCCTGTCTAACCCACAGGACAGACATGGTACTATCCTTCCCCTGTCTAACCCACAGGACAGTCATGGTACTATCCTTCCCCAGTCTAACCCACAGGACAGTCATGGTACTATCCTTCCCCAGTCTAACCCACGGTACAATCATGGTACTATCCTTCCCCAGTCTAACCCACAGGACAGTCATGGTACTATCCTTCCCCAGTCTAACCCACGGTACAGTCATGGTACTATCCTTCCCCAGTCTAACCCACAGGACAGACATGGTACTATCCTTCCCCTGTCTAACCCACAGGACAGTCATGGTACTATCCTTTCCCCAGTCTAACCCACGGTAGAGTCATGGTACTATCCTTCCCCAGTCTAACCCACAGGACAGACATGGTACTATCCTTCCCCAGTCTAACCCACAGGACAGTCATGGTACTATCCTTCCCCAGTCTAACCCACAGGACAGTCATGGTACTATCCTTCCCCAGTCTAACCCACAGGACAGTCATGGTACTATCCTTCCCCAGTCTAACCCACGGTACAGTCATGGTACTATCCTTCCCCTGTCTAACCCACAGGACAGTCATGGTACTATCCTTCCCCAGTCTAACCCACGGTACAGAGTAATCAATAGCTGGCCTAGAATACCTCTCCTCACCACGCCACGACCAGGCATATTTCAAACAATCACCCCCTGCTTAAAGACAGATTTGTTTCCAGAGGAAAAATAATCAATGCAACGACAAGTGCTGCGTTTTTTTGTTCTACTCTTCGCTGCAAATGAAAAAAAGACATGAGCTAAACAGAGAGAGAGAGATCGGTGTATGACTTTAACAAAGGCAGTCGGAAATACCACGGCAGGCGAGGCGGAGGATACAAAAAAGTCAACAAACGGAATTAAGATAAATTGCACAAGAACATCCGATGACCACAGTCATCACCCGCAGTGCACCCCAATCATCGTCAAATCTCGGAAGCCAAAGCAGCGTCGTCGAGGTTGGGTCCTCGTGCCAGCACGCGCGATCGCCATGCATAGACCAGGTGTTATAGTCTGTGGGGGCCATGCGGTGGCCAGCAGAGCAGAGAAGCAAGGTCAATTGTTCGTCTGTACTTCAGTGTGAATGTCACCCCGCCTTCAGAGAGCCGCAGTGGGTAGCGCAATTAATGAAGTATGGCCATATAACCCTGGCATGACCCGCAGTGTGTGGGGGGAGGCTCTCGCATCTAGCAGTGGATCAATAAAGGGCTGTGCAAAAGACTGCACAGCAAAAAAAGCTACGATTCAAGGGATTTTCTGTACAAATCATTTCCAAATGATACTTCGTATAAGCAAAAGGCAAATCGGTAAAAATGACCGACAAAATCTCCCCAATCACATACGCGTACGTGGAATACGGCATTGACGTTGAAACGATGAAGGTTATTATTATAAATGAGCAATCGCTGATATTTCCCCACCTCCTCACCAACAAATGCCACCCATAAGAGTTTTTTTCTTCAACGGTTTTACTTAACTTGATTCCTGTGTCGTGGTCAAATCTTGTCTTTAAAAGTTTGTCTACTTCCTGTAGTCCAATCAATTCCACATTTTGCACGCGTACTCAGATCCGGCGACAATGCATGCCTCTATCAAAATCGGCATCAAATAATCAATGCATTCGCTACTTTAAAGCAAATTACATTTCCTATGGATGCCTTATTATTGAACGAAAAATATTGTGTAGATCAAAAACGCCGCATGTCACGAAACTCTCGAATCGCCTGGCCCAAGAAGCAGGCGCCAAGTTGTCACAGGCGCGCACGCTCCGTGTCAACGAGTTACGGGCACCCTCACTCCACACAAACAAAGGTTGTACATTGAAGATTCATTCATAAAGTTATCAATTAATTCAAGTAAGCGTTGATGTGGGAGCAGGCGCCGCATCATTGACGTACTTCTCGACCGTTGCTTTTAAACAAACTTTTTTAAAGGAGTTTTTTTTTAAAAATGTGATACCAAAACAGGATTTCTCCACAATTCCGACTGGCGTGATGATGCTGTTCGTCATTACCGGTGAAACGTCGTACTCGAGTTGTAAATGTTGTGGGTTTACTCTCTAACACGGTGTGCTGAACTAGTAACGAATTGGCACGTTTTGTTTACGTGACAAACCTCACTAATTGGCTGTGTCGGGTGGTGGCGGGTTTAACGACACATTTATATTCATGCGATCTAACCCAAAAACCTCCGTTCTGGATAATATTGGTAGCGAAAGCCGACCGCGTGTTAAATAAACGCCACCCACCTTCCCCGTGACAAAAATCGCCATTTAAAAGTCGCACGGCGTGTGAAGTTGAAGGAAGGGGATCACCATCAGAAATTGTTAGGTAGCCCTCCTCTCAACTCAACGTCGGAAACTTTTATCAGGGCATCGTTTTCTCCCGGCCTGGCTCCGCTGTGCATCGTTTGACTTCCCCCATAACCCTTGCGGGTCGCGTCTGAGCCGCCGCTTCTCGTGCTGTGTGACGTTCAAGCCGTTTCGGACGAAATTTAGCATTTATTTAAGGGCGATATATGTTTTAACAAAAATGTAATCACTTATCGTAACTCGTATATAAGAATGGAGGGGGGGGACAACGATATGGCCAAACAATACTGCACTCTAATAATCGCAAGAGTTTAAACGAGACAACTTAATTTTATTAGAAAGTGTTTGAAAGCTGCGTCGGAAATTACTTTTATGAATACGAGTATGTGTATATGTATATGGGGAGCACAACGCACACTTTTTCACGCAATGTTATTTTGACATTATGTAACGCGATCTGCTAAAACCCTCTACAAGTCTCATTACCCTTTGCTGTGATCCAGAAGTCACGTGCGGGTTTTAAAAAAAAGTTTACAGCTCTTTTAAAACACCCATCATTATGGCATTACATAAACAACTGGACTAGTTTGGGGGGAAAAAAATATTTAAAGTAAAGTATTGCATAGTATTCTTGGTTCTTTCGGTAAAGTCACGTAGAAGGGAAACAATAAAATAATAAAAATATAAAACAATAAAATTCTCACGACGTTTCGACTGCAACACAAGCAATGATCATCAGGTGTTTGCTTGTGTTGCAGTCGAAACGTCGTGATAATTTTATTGTTTTATATTTTTATTATTTTATTGTTTCCCTTCTACGTGACTTTACCGAAAGAACCAAGAATATGAATCCCTGCAGTCACGAAAGCTTTAAATAAAAAAATACTGCATAGTAGTTATGAAAGGTATTCTTTGACGAAAGCCATACACCTTTAAAACACAATTACAGTATATTTTGGGTATCCAAATAGTTTTTTTTTAATTTTGCAAAGAATTCCTATTTTATTTTATTGAATCAGCTATATGTTTACAGTAGACCAGGCTTTATATTTAAATTATGAACATGACGATTTGGTTGATTAAACATTTCTTAGAATCAAGATACAGCTGCACGTGTGTTAGTCTCACTTTTTTTTTGTACAGTTAAGTAAATATTACTCACTCTGAGTGATGGGAGCTCCTCCCTGGATTTTTCACCATCCGCAGCTGGGAAGGTCATGAAATCCATGCCGGACATCACGCTGCCTCCGTCCTCCACAGGAGCCACATTGTGGCCCTTAAAGTTCTGAGTCCTGGCGCTGAGGTCGGAGGTTAAATGTGGCGAGACGAACTGCGTCATCGACTGCCTCGTCGCGAAGTAACCTCGTGCGGCGCTCTGCGCCGTCAAAACGTTCTTGAGGACCGTTTTCGATGCGGAGCTCTCGAGCTGTCGAAGGCTTACCCCGTGCTCTGAACCGGACGATCCAGATCCCCGAGTGCCGAGAAGATTGTTTAAAGACCTCGCGCTGAGCTTGTTTGACTGCAGGCTTAAGCCGTTACCTGTCAGATCGCACGGCTTCTCGCTCTTAACAGGCGCCACCAAGGAGAAGCCAGATGTGGCCCATGTGGCGAGCAGATTGGTATAGAGTGCCGAATGCTCGGACTTGATAGCGCTCTCTGGCCCCACCGCAACGGGTGACACCTGGCTCATGCAAATTACATGCAGGGGAACTTTTCGGAAGTGTTCTTCAAGGGAGGGCGCATCTTCAGCAACAAAATCGCAGTGTTGGCATTTCATGACGCCGTGAATTTTTCTGCAGGCGCAAAAAAAACCCAGCACACACACATATATAGAAACAAAATCCATACGTACGTTTTAAAATGTACAGCGCAGCAAGCCATAAAGCTTTCAACACGTAATCATGCATTGTATTGTGACACAGTTATAGCCTGTGACAAAAGAGGGCTCCGGCTCATATTTTTTTAAAGGTGCGAGTTCAAATGCTGGCTGGAGGTTGACGTAGTCCATTGTCCATGGGTCTGCTGTCTATAAAGCGAGCCCTACCTTGTCAAACATATACAACGCTTGTCCTACGGAGAGACTGGCTCTGCCATGTAGCAATGGGGCATTTACACAACTTCCTCCTGCAGAAGGGAGCCGTCCTCCCATCGATCATACAGAAACGATTCCTTGACAAAGTAGCAGTTACCAACGTTTGTATTCCTGTACTTACACGCAGTCATGGTAGTCCTTGAGCCAAATACCGTATGTTTCAATTATCGGTACCACCAGAGGTGGCGTGACCTGTGCGGCTCCAATTTCTTTATGTGGGCAATAACGATGAATTGTGATAACCATTTGAAACGAGTGGGTTCTCAAATAATTCACTCTTTTCGGCCATGTAAATACATCGGAATGACGAACGTTTTGCTACCTTAGGTGGTATTGATTTCTGCTCTGCCTCACAAACTGCGTGGGGGGGGGTGGGGAGGCGCAGTGGGTCAGTGGTTACAGCACTGCGCTATTAACCCGGTGACCTGAGTTCGATTCCAAGCTGCGGCTAACACTGGTGATGAATGACACCTGAACCAGTCATGAGACCTGCACTATCGGTATGGTCAAAACAAACCCCATAATCTGCATGGCATGAGGAGCTGTGACTTAAGGCTTAAGTTACTATTTGACTGACTGTGCAATAAATGTAGACAACTATGGAGAGACTTGTCCCAGCCATAGTAATGTATAATTTCCAACGTTGGCTCAAGGCCACCAACAGAGATGTGCATCACCCACAATCCAGCTGATTTTATCTAAACCTTGTCATACTTTATCAGCATTTACTCTTTTGGGCATACACTATGAAAGTCATGAAACATGCCACATCAGTAAAAGTGTGGAGGTGATATGTCTACCAAATCTTGCAAATACTTATTACACATATTTGATCAAAGATGGATAAATTAACAATACGTTTATCGACAGGAGGCATAACTCGCATTACAATGACTTTGAACAGGTAACCCATAGTAGGTAATGTCTGCCCATATACTTTATTTACATTTTCGCATGCCAACAGAATGTCTTCGCATACTCCTTCCTGTTTTGACAGCTTCAACGATAGCATTTTATTTTGAATATTCTCATTCGTGCCGTATCGCATATCTGTTTTATTTGCCGTATATTCCAGTAACAAAAGAAAAAACGTACATTGGTGTGTCGCGTGGGATGACAGCAACAACGTCTGCATTCAACGTGTAAAGTATATCGTTTCATCCCTTTAACGGCTGCGCTCATATTTCACCATCACAGGTAATCGAGCTGTACTTTACGAAAAAGTTGCGTATACGGATCTAACGGCTTGCTTGAACGGTCTGTTGGTGACGACAGACATTTTATAACACCTTACCCCTACCGTTACTCCCCCACGTCGGGGTTCGTGCTCAACTTTTTCCTCCGTGAACGGTTAATTATTAATTTTAAAAGCATGCATAATCATGCACTACTACAATACCAAGCTATGTGGCATGTGGGCAAAGGGTCAACACTTGAAGGGTGATACCGTTAGCGGATGTGACCAACCTGCAATGCCGAGCAAGTCCCTCCTCGGTGGGTGATGTAAATATACATTTTGTGCACTGATATGAAGTGTCACGACGTTCGTAATGCACGGAGATTTCCAGTGGTTGGTCCGGGCAGGTCTCCTGATTAAGACCATCTTTGCCCTCCGGCAGCGCGGTGTGTGTTGGCGTCACGGTTCTGGAGTCTCCTCGCCCGGGGCCTTTTATAACGGACGAGTTACCGTCGGCGAGCCAGCCTTGACCATCTGTCACCGGAACAACTTCATCCATCACGGCCCCCTCCGTCGCTTCCTCCTGTTTCTCAGCAGACGGTCCTGAAAATGTATCACCGTGGATTTCACGGTAGTGGCACATCAACTTCTCACCGTCGCCACCCTCGCAGGCAAAACTACACAACCTGCATTGGAGACGCCGAAGGGAATCGTCGCTCTGTTCAGCGGCGGCACTGGACGTGCCACCTGCAGCGGGCAGGTGCGACAAACCCTGACCTTCAGATGCCGACGCTTGCTCAACATTTTCACATCGCGCATTTTGACTCGCCGCAACGGGACCATCCAAAATCTGCCCGTCGGCGTCTAAGTCTGCGGCTGCGTTGCTTCTCCTGTGGTCATCGTTGGGATTTTCGGCGGACAACTTCAGCTTGCTGGGATGCACGGAGAGGGCATGGCTCTCCAGCTCCGCCGGGGCGCTCCCGATGTACGTGAAGTTGCAGAACTTGCACCTGAAGTATTTTGTGTCGCCCTGGCAGTCAGGAGTCTTCCGCCCAATACCGATAAGGGTGCCCTGTATCGCCACCTTCAGGGATAATAATGCATATGCATTGTTAACACAAGAAATAGGAAACCAACATTTTGCCCAAACTTGTCTACTGAAAAATATTTGTACTTTTATGGTCAGCAGCACAAGGAGAGTGTGGAAGAGAAATGCATTTACAATCTGATGGTTCAAATCATGCACAGGAAATTACTCTGCCGTCCATCCTTTTCGCGGTAGCTAAAATTAGTACAACTTTGTGCAAAGTTAACATTGTTAAAATTCTTATACCCTGGCTCCTACCAGACGACGTTAGTCCCAACCGGGAAGCAACTTGTGAGCCCAGTCCTCTAAAAACTGAGATCTCCCATTGGTTCAAATATGAGTAAGGAAATATTTAAACATTTTAACTACAGTGTTTAAAAAATACACTTTAAAGGCTGAGACAATATAAATTGCTGTACTTCCATAATAACTCATTTTCTACACACAAGTGTAAATTCGTTTCACCTTTTTACCACTAAACATTCATCATATCCACATAAAGCTGGCAATTGTCCGGAAAGCATGCATCTTTAACATCTCTTTCAGGGGGATCCTGAAGAGAATATTGGGCCAATTCCTCAGCGAGTACTGTGCTTTTGGGAATAAAACAGAGTACCGTATACTTGGAGCACACGTACACAGGGGAGGATAACACGAAACTATCTATAGTCTGCGTGCACTACCATCTCATCAGCCAAAATGTTGCAGGTAGGTGCCCCGCACACTGTATACGTCTGCATGACTCACCAACCACTGCCACAAAAGTAGTGTATTACCGGCATGCCCCATCATGCCACTTATAATTCCCAGTGCTGATCGGGGTGGGGAGGCGGGCGGGGGGGACAATGGCAGCAGCTGCTCATCAGTTAGCTTTGCGTTTACTCACCTGCACATCGTAGGAACCATTCGAGGACGAGGTGGTCGTCTTCTGGATGACTGCAATCTTCAGTTTATCGGCGTGGCCAGCGAGCCCCAACATTTCGCTCGTCTCCAAAAGGCGGCCCGTGCGGTGCAGCGCCAGGATTCGGCTATCCAGGTCCGCGTCGTGCCGTGTGCGGTTGTGCAGCCCTAGGTGGTATTTGCGAAAGTGCTTCACGAGGTCAGTGGGATCGTTGCCATAGTAACTGTAGCCGCAGGCACTGCAAGTGAAGTCTTGCAGCTCCGGCGTTGGGGAAGTGCCAACATCGTCCGCCTTTACCGTGATCTTGACGTCGTCGTCAGGGGACTTTGGGGAAGGCCGTTCGCCAACCTCGTCGGCTTCGTCGTCTTTGCCGGCGGTAGTTACTTTGCACGTTGTGCTAGTGGTCGAGTCTGGCTCGCTCTTTCTTTGAGTGTCGTCGGCTGCGATTTCTGCCTGTTCAGAGTCATTCACTCCACCGTCTGAAGTTAACTTCTCCTGTGTTTGTTTTGTACATTCAGGGCTGTATGTTTTGCAGAAAGCAGCGACCTCTTCATGCTTCACTGGCGGACAATTGCCCGTACTGTCCTCTCTTTTCATCTCGGCTTGACCAATAAAAAAATCACAAGTCTTTGGCAAACAGGTCTCTGCTGCAACACACAGAAGACTTGTTTCCATCATGACTGCTTGGGAATCCCCCTCTGGGCCTGCCTTGGGATTAATCTGCTTCTGTTGTGCTCTCTTGGAATTCACAAGTCTTGACCTCAGTTGTCCATCCACCCCATCGGTTGTAGTTTCCTTTAAACTTGCGCGTATTTTGGTTCTCTCTGAACTTGCGGCTTCAGTATTCGGTGCATCCAACACATTTCTTAATGGGAGATTCTTTCTGCGAACCATTCCTAAAAGTGTAAAAAAACAAAAATTTGAATTAGCTCTGACTATTCACAATCGATGTTGGTACCTCTGCTCAAACAAGCAAAAGGGTGGCCACTCCTCTCAGTTGGGAGCCATAAGCCAGTGTTGGAAAATCCACATTCCCATGGCAGGGGCCAGTCTTTCTTTATAGGAATACCACTGGCCGCATCACACACAGTGGCGTTTTTGTTGAGTCGAATTCATAGTTCATAGTTCATTTATTTGGTATAGCCCTGTGAGCCATTCGGCTCTTGAATCGGGTGCAACCGTAACAAACAAAAATGAAACGACAGTACAGTACTGGACTGCAAATCTTTAAAATACGCTGGATTAAAAACATGTCATTCCAGCTTCGTATTTCATGGCATTTGTCCTCAAATGATTGAATTTAATTTCTTAATGTATTTTACAGATTACATTAAACATCGCCACACTATCAATATGGTACAACTTCCAGTATTTTAATAATTTTACAATGCTTTTACTTAAACCGATTAATTAATTAATTTCTAACACAACAACAATATTATAAAGTGTTAGTACACAATGTATTACACACAGTACCTGAAAATGTACAATTCAATGCCAGTACTTGATACCAATATTTCCTGTTGGAGTACCCACAAAACTATACTGTGCATGTGCTTTTAAGACTGCGACTTTTTCCATCAAAGTCTAAACTCGTGTGGTGAAACGTATATTAGTGGTAACAATAAATAGGCTGTATATACAGTGCGAAAATAACTTTTCGCTCATGGTTAAATATTTTCATTACAACGGTGGCAACGGTGGTATTTTTAAATTTTACAATCAAATAACACTGCAGTAATGGGCCAAACATATTTCCTGATATGTTTTAATTTGCGTACTGCAGTGTGATACTTTGGCCATTAAACAGCGAAATGTGTAAGTGAATCATCACGGAGCCTGGTTCGTGAACGTAAATAATTAAACAAGACTAAGCGTGATGAATCTCAGCTTTCTGCAATGGTCAATTGTCCGTTAGCCCTGCAATGTTTCCCAACAGACGGGAGCCACTACTAAAAACCCCAGACACATGAAAGCATTTCTCTCTCACCGTCACCCTAACAACCACACGTGTCACTTCTGGAGGCTCACAGCAATTCACTAACTAGAGGCCATAAATCACGTGCTTTTTACTTGACGCGGTTGTATCAGAGTTCAAAAAAAAAAACTCGTGACAGCGTTTGCCAGTGTTGTATTGGACACGCAACAGGCGTGATCGAGACGTCTAAACCCAGCGTGTAGAGGAATGTACTTGCCACTGAATATAGAGTTCGGGACTGTCTGTACGCGTTAACTTTACACAGCGCACTTTTGAAAGCAACCTGCAAACTGGAACATACGCTTCAAATTAACTACCGCAATCCTATTCAACGCACACGATGCACGGTTATACGAGTCGCGGTGCACGTGGTTAATTCACAAAAAAACACACGAGCGCAGGGTACGAAGATGTGCGTGCTTGGGATTGCTATTGTGAAGCAACAAGAGGAACACGTCGATTGGCGAACATAGGCAGGTTTTTTTGTTTGTTGGTAAAGACATCATCCACGCTGCCAATGAAAGTAAAACGATAAGAACGAAGTGGCAGCCAGGGAGTGGATAGCTAGCGTCCGAGAAACCACGTCCACGCGTTAAGAGATACGTTATTACATCGCGGAATTGTGGGATGGCAGCGGACCTTTGTCCAACAGAGGATAGACCAAGGCTGATGATTATTATTATTAGTTTTAAACGCTCCACGCATACACGCACATCCGATTAGCACGGTTGGCCACGTAGGGTGCGAAAGAAGTTCAACGTACACACACACACATCTCGAGCTATGCGCTTTTAATTCTAGATTTTTAAAACTCACTTCTTTAGGAAGCGCTTTTGTGTGTGTTTAGCTCGTTGTCCTTCCCCCCGCACCTCCGATTAGCACAGTTGGCTACGTAGGGTGCGAAAGAAGTTCATCACACATAAATACACACACAGCCAAGCGCGGTGCGACACCAGGACCCACCACACCAGGACCCACACACACGCGACACTTACCCTTAAGCGAGGTTAACACACATTAATTTAAACACTGAACAGTTAAAAGCCATCAACGTTCAGCCGCGGTCAGTCCACTGCTGGACGAAGCCCTCTCTCCAATCTGCCACCAACTCCCGCCACCGTGCGATGTTTAACAATCCACCGTGCGATGTTTAACAATCCACCCATTCCCACTGGCACTTTTGTGTTGTGCTCCAGCTGCAATGTCTCGGCGGACGGATTCTGTCGCCTGCGTGCAAAGAAATGAATCGTGTCTGGCCGACGATACACACTCACTGCTCGACGCGTACACACGACCGCGGGAAGTGATCTCTCGACACGACTCCAGTTGAGGCTACGAGACTCAACGAGCATCCGCTAGATGCGTCTACATAACCATATTGCAAGTGCACAGCAGATGGATTGACACGACGAGACGTCGTTGACGAGACGCGTTCTCGACCCGACTGGTGGATGAATGTGCGCGTAAGAAGATGCGTGAACTCGTGCGTTGATGTGTGTGTGTCCCACCCCCTCGTGCGCCGTGCCGGCCTTCACAGGTGCTCGCTGACAGCACTTGCCCCAACAGTCTGTTTAAAGACTATACGGGGGATATTTGTCTTTGTAGATGGGGGGGGGGGGGAGCGATTGTGTAGTGGTTAGGACAGTCCTCTACGAACCCGGCGACCACAGTTCGATTCCCGCTCACGGCCAAACACCGCCGACGATGATCTGAATCGGTCCTGGGCCGCCCCTAGGTCGACTCAGCCTAAAATTAGTACCCGGTGCGATGGTTACACATCGCCACTGGGGAGACAAAGGCGGTCGGGCGTGGTACTGCTGGCGACATCACCCCATCGTGTGCAACAGTGCCGGCCTTAATAGGTGCTCGCAAACAGCACTTGCCTCAACAGTCTGTTACAAGCTTTGTAGATGTGTGTGTGTAGGTGTGGATGTGTATGGGTGTAGATGTGTGTGTATGTGTGGATGTGTATAGATGTGTGTGTGTAGATCTTTGTAGATGTGTGTGTAGATCTGTGTAGATGTGTGTGTAGATCTTTGGAGATGTCTTTGTATATGTGTGTGTAGATCTGTGTAGATGTGTGTGTAGATCTTTGTAGATGTGTGTGTAGATCTGTGTGTAGATCTTTGGGGATGTCTTTGTAGATGTCTTTGTATATGTGTGTGTAGATCTGTGTAGATGTGTGTGTAGATCTTTGTAGATGTGTGTGTAGATGTCTTTGTAGATATGTGAGTAGATCTGTGTAGATGTGTGTGTAGGTGTGGATGTGTATAGATGTGTGTGTAGATGTCTTTGCAAATGTGTGTGTAGATGTCTTTGTAGATGTGTGTGTAGATCTTTGTAGATGTGTGTGTAGATCTGTGTAGATGTGTGTGTGTAGATCTGTGTAAATGTGTGTGTGTGTAGATCTGTGTAGATGTGTGTGTGTAGATCTGTGTAAATGTGTGTGTGTGTAGATCTGTGTAAATGTGTGTGTAGATGTCTTTGTAGATGTGTGCGTGTGTAGATCTGTGTAAATGTGTGTGTGTGTAGATCTGTGTAGATGTGTGTGTGTAGATCTGTGTAAATGTGTGTGTGTGTAGATCTGTGTAAATGTGTGTGTAGATGTCTTTGTAGATGTGTGCGTGTGTAGATCTGTGTAAATGTGTGTGTGTGTAGATCTGTGTAAATGTGTGTAGATGTCTTTGTAGATGTGTGCGTGTGTAGATCTGTGTAAATGTGTGTGTGTAGATGTCACTGGGCCTCATCATCAACAATAGACATGGGCAGCACGCGGCCCATGTCCAAATACAGTAACGTCGCTACGCGTCTCAGGTTCACAAGGAGAGAAACTCGACACATGCAGCTCTTACAAACAACCCAGTTGTCAAATGTAATGTATATGAAAGAGATGGCTCCGACGGCGAGCGACACAAACAACACAAAAGGAAAAGACTTTATTTGAAACGGTAGTGGGGTAGGTCGTGGTGGTGTCGCCTGAAGGTTGAGTCGAGGCTGCCCTCGCTGTGTGCGCGACACGACTCACAACCACCACAACCACCCCATACACAACCACCACAACCACCCCTACACAACCACCACAACCACCCCTACACAACCACCACAACCACCCCTACACAACCACCACAACCACCCCTACACAACCACCACAACCACCCCTACACAACCACCACAACCACCCCTACACAACCACCACAACCACCCCTACACAACCACCACAAACACCCCTACACAACCACCACAAACACCCCTACACAACCACCACAACCACCCCTACACAACCACCCCATACACAACCACCCCATACACAACCACCCCTACACAACCACCACAACCACCCCTACACAACCACCCCATACACAACCACCCCTACACAACCACCCCTACACAACCACCACAACCACCCCTACACAACCACCCCTACACAACCACCCCTACACAACCACCCCATACACAACCACCCCATACACAACCACCACAACCACCCCTACCACCCCATACACAACCACCCCTTACACAACCACCCCATACACAACCACCCCTACACAACCACCCCATACACAACCACCCCATACACAACCACCACAACCACCCCATACACAACCACCACAACCACCCCTACCACCCCATACACAACCACCCCTTACACAACCACCCCATACACAACCACCCCTTACACAACCACCCCATACACAACCACCCCTACGCAACTACCCCATACACAACCACCCCTTACACAACCACCCCATATGCAACCACCCCATACACAACCACCCCTACACAACCACCCCATATACAACCACCCCTAAACAACCACCCTTACATAACCACCCCATACACAACCACCACAACCACCCCTACACAACCACCCCTACACAACCACCCCTACACAACCACCCCATACACAACCATCCCATACGCAACCACCCCTACACAATCACCCATAAAACTCCACAACCACCCCATACACAACCACCTCATAACTCCACAACCACTACATACATACACACACAACCACCCCTATAACTCCACAACCATCCCATACACAACCACTGCATACACAACCACCCCTATAACTCCACAACCACCCCTATAAAACTCCACAATCACCCCTACACTACCACCCCTATAACTCCACAACCACCCCATACACAACCACCCCTATAACTCCACAACCACTACATACATACACAACCATCCCTATAACTCCACAACCATCCCATACACAACCACTGCATACACAACCACTCCTATAACTCCACAACCACCCCTATAAAACGCCACAATCACCCCTACACTACCACCCCTATAACTCCACAACCACCCCAATACAACTTCACAATCACCCCTACACAACCACCCCTATAAAACTCCACAATTACCCCTACACTACCACCCCTATAACTCCACAACCACCCCAATACAACTCCACAATCACCCCTACACAACCACCCCAATACAACTCCACAATCACCCCTATACAACCACCCCTACAACTCCACAATCACCCCTACACAACCACCCCATACACAACCACCCCTACACAACCACCCTATACACAACCACCCCTATTACTCCACAACCACCCCAATACAACTCCACAACCACTCCAACACTCCTACGACTGGACATCTACAACCCATAACCTCATCGATTACTACCTCGTACCTACGACTACATGCACGGTACTGCAACCACAGTAAACACTTACTATTGTACAACCTTCCTACACATCCCGCTCCTACAACCGCTCCACACCACCACCACCACGTCTACAACCACACCACCACGTCTACAACCACACCACCACCACGTCTACAACCACACCACCACCACGTCTACAACCACACCACCACCACGTCTACAACCACACCACCACGTCTACAACCACACCACCACGTCTACAACCACACCACCACGTCTACAACCACACCACCACGTCTACAACCACACCACCACCACGTCTACAACCACACCACCACGTCTACAACCACTCCACCACGTCTACAACCACACCACCACCACATCTACAACCACACCACCACGTCTACAACCACACCACCACCACATCTACAACCACACCACCACATCTACAACCACACCACCACGTCTACAACCACACCACCACCACGTCTACAACCACACCACCACGTCTACAACCACACCACCACCACGTCTACAACCACACCACCACATCTACAACCACACCACCACGTCTACAACCACACCACCACCACGTCTACAACCACACCACCACCACGTCTACAACCACACCACCACCACGTCTACAACCACACCACCACTACGTCTACAACCACACCACCACGTCTACAACCAAACCACCAGCACGTCTACAACCACACCACCACCACGTCTACAACCACACCACCACCACCACGTCTACAACCACACCACCACGTCTACAACTACACCTCCACCACCACGTCTACAACCACACCACCACGTCTACAACTACACCACCACATCTACAACCACACCACCACCACGACGTCTACAACCACACCACCACTACGTCTACAACCACGCCACCACCACGTCTACAACCACACCACCACCACGTATACAACCACACCACCACCACGTCTCCAACCAGACCACCACCACCACGTCTACAACCACACCACCACCACGTCTACAACCACACCACCACCACCACCCCATTGCCACCGCCACCACTCCGAGACGCAGGGACTGCGCTGCGACAAGGCCGCTCTCGAACCGAGTTACCTCAAGTCTCACGCGCGTGGCCCCATCGCCTCCAACCTCCCTCTACAACCACCACCACCTACCCCTCTACCCACCTACCCCTCTACCCACCTACCCCTCTACCCACCTACCCCTCTACCCACCTACCCCTCGTCCATCACCTCCTTCCTCGTCCGAGTGGGACACCGGCTCCACGCGAGACTGCGCTCCCGGTAACCCGGACTCCCCTCCCCAGCGACCTGGACCTTCCATCTCCTACCACCACCACCATCATCATCACCCCCCACCATCATACGCGATCATCGCCTGTGACCAACATCATTCCCATCCGCCTCTCTACTCGCTCGCCTACCCTACGCTCGCACCTCCTCACGGGTTCAGCGAGTTCCCACTCAACACAGTCCCCGACTGCGTCTCTCTCTCTTCATCGTTATCATCATCATCCCTAGAGCACAACGAGCCACCACTACCCGGTTACCAGCGGCCCTGCTGCTACGACGGACCCACGTCTCTTATCACCCCTCCCCGTCGCTCGCTCTTCACTCCTCGTCCGTCGGCACCACCTACGGGGGGCCAGCCGAGGATGTCCCCAACTGCGTTAGTGGCGGTGTCTCTGTCCGTTCCGGGGCCTCTCTCCCCCTTACCTGTCATCTGCTGTGCCCATCTCTCACCTGTCATCTGCTGTGCCCATCTCTCACCTGTCATCTGCTGTGCCCATCTCTCACCTGTGAACTGCCCATCTCTCACCTGTGAGCTGCCCATCTCTCACCTGTCAGCTGCTGTGCCCATCTCTCACCTGTCATCTGCTGTGCCCGTCTCTCACCTGTCATCTGCTGTGCCCATCTCTCACCTGTGAGC